TATCCTCATCATCATCATAAACATCGTCCTCATCATCATAATCATCATCATAATCATCATCATAATCATCGTCATCATCATAATCATCGTCATCATCATCGTCATCGTCGTCATCATCACACAGATTCGCAAACTAACGCAAGAGTTGGAAATAGCCAATGAAAAGATAAACTCTCTGACGACGCAACTCAATACAAACGTATGTATATATATACATACACACATACAAACATACATACATACATACATACCTACATACAAACATACAAACATACATACATACATACAAACATACAAACATACATACATACGTACGTACATACATACATACATACATACATACATACATACATACATACATACATACATAGTTGTACGTTGTAAGCGCCTTCGAGCAGTCACTGGCGACGATGACCTCCCGGATTCAAAAGCTGACAAAAGCGTCGGAAAACAAAGTAATAATAATAATAGTAATAATAATATTATTATTATTAATAACAATAATAATAATGACAATAATCAAAATAATAATAACAATAACAACAGTGATAATTAAACACAGGACGCAGAGTTAGCCAAACTGAAATCCATAGTTGACGAAATGGACATGATGACGTCATCGGGAACCTGGGATCACGTGACTGGGAGCTGCGGTCCTGGCGGCAGTGGTGGTAGTGATAGCATCGCTGGTTGCGGTGGTGGTAATGATTACATTGAATATGGTTAGCTCAGATGATCATCATCGTCATCATCTTTTGCTTCTTCTTCTTTTTCTTCAACATCATATTCTAATTCTTCTTTTTTTCATCACCATCATTAACATCTTCCTCTTCATCATTGTTTTCATCTTTTTCCTCCTCCTCCTCATCAGGATGGCCTTCTTCAAGATCACCGCAATTTCTCACTGATGAACGAAATCTTGCATTGGGGACTGCCAGCCTGAAGAGAGATAGTGACGATAAAAGGAGAGTGAACGTGATTCTGGTGAGAGGACGATGGTAACGATGATGAAAAATAAATACAAATCGAAATATAAAGATTCTAAATTGAAATTAACTTTTAAAAATCTACCATCCCGCCCAGAACAAACTAAGCAGTAGCATAAAAAAGGCCTTCTCTGTAAACTTTCACCATCACCAACATCACCACCATCACATCAGCATCACCACCACACCTTCAACTCCATCGACTCAAAAGGCCCACAAATCGTCGTCGTCATGGTGGTCCAAGTCGCCGCTTCCCTATCGTCGCCACAGCAATCAACCTTCGGGGTATATGAGCGTGCCTTCTACGCCTCTGGCCTCACAAAGAAAGTTAATGTTTGTGAAATTTCTTTTGTGGTAGTATTAATATTAATTGACGAAGAAAATGTAGTTTATGGTGGTATTAAAATGGTTTTCTCATTCAAACAGCTTTGAGAACTACGACACCATCATGATGAACAAGTCAGCAACGACATCGACGACACCTAGCGACAACGACCACAGCCACCATAGCCACCAAAAACATCAACGCTTCAATTCCAATTTTACGTCCTCAAAACTTCCCACTATAACCATAACACCAACAACAACCATAACAACAACAACAACTACTACTACCACTACCACTACTACTACTACTACTAACAATAGACATCATCATCATCACGATCACACTTTTTCTCTTCCCCTAACTTCAACACCACACAGCTCGTCAAAAGAACCACACAGCTCGTCAAAAGAACCACACAACTTTTTGACCACTGATTTGGATGACCTCAACAAAACTCTACCAAAACTTACCGCAAATTCGGCAGACGTCACCAAAATTTCTCCACCACATTTCACCAAAACATCGCAATCTACAGGACCACCATCACCAAGCTTACTCAGCAGCACTCACATCGGCACAAGCGCACAAAATGATTCGAAAGATGAGATTATTAAATCACTGCAAAGGCAGCTGTACGATAAAGAGATGATGATTACAGATGTCAGACTGGAGTCACTTTCATCAGCTCATCATCTCGATCAACTCAAAGATGCTATAAGTCAGATCAACG